AAAAATTTTCAGGGTAAAATATATATATGAACATCTCTCCCTTTATTTTAAATTTGAACTTCGCCAATATCAGCATGGTTTTGTTAAAAAAATCTACTTCTTACTTGCTAAATCTTTATCGCAGTTTCTTATTTCGTGAGGGCAGACCTAGCCCGTTTATTTTTACCTCAGTCAAGTATAATCATATATACTCTCTTATTGCATGAACTTAATCATGTTAGAACCTTAGAACGTAGTATTACTTGATTGCAAAGTTATTTATCGTTCGGATTTTCGACCGTTTGCAGTGTACGGAAGTTTTCTTCACCTTTTTCCAAACTACCATGACTACCACAAAACTCGACCTTATGATCTCTATTGTTCAGTATTTATATTAATGATTTATGTGCGAAAATTAGTTTGTCTGTAATTTTGCTGTTTGCTGATGAGTGAAGAATTTTCGTGTCATACTGTCTGCTGAAGATTATAGATTAGTACAATCCTTTACAGACTCTGTACAAAAGTGTTGCGTTGAAAATTATAAGAAAATTAACATTTGAAACCAATAATTTATTTTGTTTGTAAAACTAAAAATATCAATTTTAATTACTAAGTAGGTAATCTATTAATTACCTATACGATAGTGAACTCTATTGTCATCGTCATGTTGAGTGCTTATGTTTCCATACTTAAATCCGCTGGGACTGATTCGCTTTATCGCGTATAACTTTTCTTATCTGGATAGCCTATAAATTAAAAATTTTTGGAAAATAGATATGTGGTTCAAAACTAAGTAATTATATTGCCCATGTGGACAACAACAAAGGGTAGATACCACAGCTCTGATACTTTCCCCACTCCCATTCGTTTTTGAAGGTCAAAAATAGCTTCTTTTTTCTCAAAATCGATAGGTAAGTTTCAAGCTTAATTAGACCTAGAGGAAGTGAATTGAGTAAAACCTTGTAATTTCATGATTTATAGTCCATATCATGAGGAACAAATTGGTTTTTCATTGGAGTCTCCAGGTTCAATAGTTATCGAGATATAAAAGATAACGCAAACATCAATTTGAGCCGAAAAGACGTTTTTTCGCATTATAAAAACGGCTGTACCGGGAGAACCGAGCGGATTACATTTTTTAAACATATTTTTGAGGTATGAAAATATGTAGAAATAAGTATACAAAATATAACTTTTTCTTAAATGGTCGAACGACCTATCTGGATAAATTCACATGGAATGGACCCGTACCACGTGCCCCCTGAAATTATATATAAGATATGTAGCCCATTGTATTGTTGCTTGAAGAGGCATGCCAAATAATGACATATCCACTAGTAGAAGCGGCTGAGGCTACTGACGAACCAAAGTCAGAGCTGCAGTTGTTACGTGTGTCTGCGGATGACATTTCAGCATTAACCTCACTTAATTAACTGAATTAATTCCTTGTTTCGGAGTCCGTCTGGAGAAACCAGCAGCAGCTCTCATACTCCTACTCGAAGCTTCATTACTGTATTCACAACATCCCACCACTGACACTTCTCCTGAGCCAGATTAATCCAGTCCATACCATCTCATCCTATTTCTCTGAGAACCCACCTATTCCTGGGTCTTCAAAGTGGTCTCACGCTTTCTGGTTTCCCCACTAGAACACATATGTTCACTCTTCTTCTGTCCCATGCATGCTACATGCCCTGCATCGCATCGTCTTGGCCATTCTAACAATATTTAGCGAAGGGTACAAGTTACGAAACTCATTATGCAGTTTTCTCTAACCTCTTACTATGTCATCCCTCTTCCATCCAAATATTCTCCTTAGCACCCTGCTCTCAGACACCCTCTTTGCACATGCTTTCGGAAATATCAGAGACCAGGTTTCACACTCATACAAAACTACAAGGAAAAATGTAGTTTCTTATGTTTCAGATTTCTGTTGCATTGGGGCACCATTTTAAAGTATTCCGTCTCTAATGCAAAGGAGTTACTCCTTTCTTAAAAGACACTAAAATATATTTAATTCACTAAAAAGTGTTTGTTAAATATTTTAAATGCAGTGAACTATGTACATTCGTTCTTGCTACATGTTTCGGCTGCAAATAGGTCATCATCAGGCAACGTTTATTATTTGAGGAGACCACTGCACTGTACACTTTTCCTTAGTACCTTCAGCCACATCGTTGTTGTTGTTGTTGTCGTCGTTGTTGTTGTTAATTTGCTTAGGATATTTCTATCCTATCTTTCTTAGCGGCCGTTTCAGTGTTCCTGTTCAGTGCGTCGGTCACTTTAGATATGTATCTAGTCGCACTTTCATATTCCGCAAGCAATTTCATTTTATTGTTTCCGGTTTGAAAATTATAGGCCACGGAAATCCCGACAATATTTAAGAATCACTCGTAGGTGAACCCTATGAATAACGGTACATTCGTGTTAATGGCACCAGATTTATAAGGCGAAGCAGTTTGCAATGCAAGAGGCGAACTGGGATCACGGACCGTCACCGTAAATTGAGAGCACGTGCTCTGTAGTGTCAAGGATGTCTCCATTACATTGACCTCGCTACGTAACTTCTTTCAGTTTCACTTCATGTGACTATGAAACAGAATTCACCTTGAGAGGCAAATAATCGCTCATACAATGATGAAATAAATAACCTTGAATGGCACCTGAATGTTCATTACCGTGGTCACAAGAGCCCATCATAGACCGTAGCCTGAGCCACATAAGTCCGGCCCACATCAAGGAACACTATATATTGTGACATGACGCTCGAAAGCCGGAACAGTGAAGTCAGAATAGATGTTCATTGCTAGGCATCAACTCGGCAAACATATTTCCGCGGCAACGAATACGCAAGCAACAATCAAGTAATCTTCGTTGTTATGCAACGGCGCTGTAAAAACACCTTCCCAACAATAGAGGGGCTGTATTTTCTGCGTGGTTCATACAAAGGGGTTATGGAGAAGAGTTAAGTCGAGAAGAATAGAGTCGAGGTTCGAGACCCCAGTCTGACAGGGTATGAGCTTTGGAACAGATGAATTTAACTGAGTTAGAATCTTCGGAATTGGCAGTTACAGAATAATTGTAAGAAGGGAAATGAAGACTTCATGTGTGATTTGAAGTGACAGTGAGGCTGTTGTAATTCCGTTGCCAGGATACGACTAGTGAAGACTGAGAATCCTATTTCGTGTGTAGCGGAGAACTGCAAAATTTGTATTGTGACGTGTTGCGCCAAAGAGGACACCCCCTCCCTCCCCAGCGGTGACGTAACACGGGATGCCGCGGTCGCTACCCAGCACTAAACAACTCCCGACAGCGTTGCTAGGCTATCGGCAAACACGGCGTCAGACAACAGTGGTGCCTATTACGTAACTGTTTTCTGTGTTGTCCGTAACGGGGCTAAATAAGGAACAGCGAAGGCTATTCAAGAGAGTTACGAGTTGGCCAGGGAAAAGTATGCAGTCTAGTATTTCTGATACTGCAGATAGCAGTAGTTGTGAGATTGTTATTTGTGTGATTGTATGAGCGAGTGTGAAATAAAATTCGCTGCATCCAATACGGCGTGAAGTTATTTGTCGTGTTATACACCCAACACGTGACAGTATATTAACGGTAGTGCTATATTACCTTTAGTCCCGAGGTGTATGTATGAAATGTCAATATATGCAATCATCCAATATAGAAACCTTCTATAAGTCACACACAAACCATTACACATGATAATATTTTAGATATATTGTAATGTTATCTTCCCACATTTTCCTGTGTATCTCTACCAGGAACAGTAATTTTCCTTCCAGTTTCTCAAAATATTTCGCTTTAATTTCACATACATAGCATGCGTACTTCATGCCCTGCCCATTACATATACTGAAAGTTAACCAAAATTATCATCTGTTGAGAAATACGAATCATGGAGCGCCAGTCATACAGTTTCATCCTGTCTCCTGTCGCTCCCTCGCTCTTAAGTCGAAATACTGTTCTCTGCACCTTCTTGCCTGCCTCACTACGTCTACTTTAGTTTATTTTGTTTTGTTATTTTTAACTGGATCGTCTGGTAAAGTGAGAATTATGTGACAAAATAAAGGGACCCTGTACTTCGTAAATTTGGATGTAGGTATGGTGATATTCTTCCAGTGATGATACCTGAGGACAAGGGCAGAGTAAAGTGTCCTAAACATTGTTTTAAATACAAAGAAACGGGACGATGGATAATGTTCAACAAAATCAATAATTGTTTTTCAGTGACAGTGTTTAACTGTTGGGTATGCTGAGTCTTCTAAATACCGGGAATATCTTCTCTGCACGTCGTAAATACGAGGTGTGTTCATTACGTAAGCTTCTGAACCACACAAGTGTACAGTGCTGACATCTGAGGCAACAGTGGGACGTAGGCGACTCAACACTGACGAAGAAATATAAGTTGTTATGAATGCGAGAGGCCGATTTCTACAGGGACAGAATATTTAAACTCATGCCGAGATGAGACAAATGCATCAGTGTGCTCGGGAAGTGCGTTGAAAAACAGCGATACTTCAGATGAATGAATGAGCTACATTTCACTTTATAATGACTTCTCATTTAATTTGTACGATACAGAAAACTTTAATTTGTCTTCTAGACGTTCTCTAAAAGAGCCAATAGTCTTTCGCTTG